TATTGATCAATTCTGGTCGCGTTTTCTCAATTGCCTGGCGTAATCTTTCCAGTTGTTGACAGTAGAGGTTAGAATCAATTGTTTGACCGGACGGCAGCAGCTCGTAGTGAACGATTCCTTTCCAATCCCACCACACACTCAGCATCACTTTTCTTGGCGTCAATTTTGGCTTTGCCACAGTTTGCGGAGCTTCATTTCGCTTTGTCCACGATCTTTTTCGTACATTATTGTCGTACGTGATCCATTTTTCGTTGCCTGTTATGAGCCGTTTCAAAAATGGTTCGATGTCGTTTCGTTTTAACAATGATTCGCAGATAGAAAATCGATCCATTAAATTTTTGACTGTTAAATCATGTGGCACCCAAACATCGAGGTTTTTTTTGTATCCAGCGTTCTGCAAATGGTTTAAAACTGTTTTGTGGTCGATGTTCAGTTGTTTACCGATTTCGTGACTGCTAATGTGCCGGTCTTGCTCAATTATTTTCATAATTTCATCGACTTTTTCAGTGATCGGTCGACCAGAGCGAGGTGCATCTTTGACATCAAAATTTCCAGATTGAAAACGCTTGAACCAGCTTTGTGCCACACGTATTGATACAGCATCATGTCCATAAACATCACAAATTTTTTTAGCAGCCTGAGTTGCATTCTTCCCTTTTTTAAAATAAAATTTTAAAATGTATCGAATTTCTTCTTTCTCTTCACTCATTTTCAAGATGCAATAACTTTTGACTGAATAGACAAATATCACTACTTTTTTGCTAGTTTCTTTATGATATGTCACCTTTCAAACGCACACAAAGTATTGACAGATCCGATTAATATTATCAAGGTTATGCGATTCTAATTCCACCTACTGGGAAAATACGAAGAAACTTTTTCCCCAATCCAATACAAAGGTGTTTTAAAGGTACACAAATATAATGTCTGAAAAGTTGCAATTCCAAGAAATATAGCTTTTGCTTTTTTATTTAAAACGCTTTATCAATGTGTTTTCTATTTCCAAGTTTTATTTTACAATTTTTTTATACATTACAATAGAATACAATTCTATTACACATTTATTACATAAAACATACAATATAATACAATATAATATATATAATATAATATATAAATAGTTATATATAATCCTACCTACCTACCTACCTATCTTAGACATCTGACATATCTTAAACGTTACTAGCGTTATTAATTAGGATTAAGAGGATGCTGAACCGCTGGCAAAAGTTCGCTCAGCTGCTACTCAACCGCTATGCTATCGGGTAGGTGGCGCCATCTCTCGGGACCGAATCAAACCAAAACAAGGATAGATGACATGAGAGAGCCAAGGATAGACATATGTTTCTCTCTAACGCTTCTGCTAAAATTGTACTAATCGTATTTCCAAGTTTTCTTGTCTCACAAGGCTTCAAAATCTTTTTTGAAGCACTCAAAATATTCGTCTATGTTTCTAGTTTGGGATAAAGGTATTTTTATTTGAATTTATATGGCTAATTTTGCATATAAAGTAAAAATGTAGTTTCTGTAATAACAGTCTAAAAATTTTTTTTTGTTTTTCTTAAATTTTTAGGCTTTATCCCATTCTTTACTATATTTTCTTTATTTCTGGAGAAGCATTTTTTATTCCGATTTATAGTTTTCACAAAAAGTTGGAAATACGAAATGATGGTAAAACAGGACGGTTCAGCATTCTCTTAAGGCTGCATAACAACCTTGATCCTAATGTGACATTTTGATTTCTTCCTACTTATTTGGTCTACCATATTTCCTACCTACCCGGCTTAATATATTTTCTACAAGCGCTTGTAGATTACGCATCCTTACCTACACAGATATCTATTTACCTACCTACTTTAGAAACTTTTAAAATCTATCAAATATTTTACGCGAGGGACAGTTGTTTTAAAATTAAAAAGTATTATTTTAAATTTATTTTACTTCCACGACAGAGTTTTTATATTTTATTTAATTTAAAGAAAGTATGTACCCATTTGATAAAGCCTACCATGTATTTATAGATGAGATAGAATATGAAACAAGTAAAAATATATATTTATATATATATATATTTCAAATATATATTCAAATATATATTTTTGCAAAGATAAAATAGAAAAGAATAAGTATAAACAAGAGAATAGATATAAAGAACATGAGTCTCCGAAAAAAGATTCTATATCGGTTCTTTAAGAGAAAGTGATATAGAAAAGTGATATAGAAAAAAACACAAGTTTCAAAAAATAATTCTATATCGGTTCTTCAAGAGAAAGTGATATAAAAGTCTCGAAAAAAAATTCTATCGGTTCTTTAAGAGAAAGTGATATAGAAATATGAAAGTAGAAAATATAGATAAATATATATAAAAAAATAAAAAAATAAATAAAAAAAGCACATATATATAGAAAATATAAGCCTTTTTGGATAAGAGAGGTAGCAATGTTAAATTCCAAAATATGGAAGATTTATATTTCAATTTTTAACATGGATTTCCTATGTTGAGCCTTCGTGAAGTGGGGTTTTTTAAAATTACTGACGACAATTTTTTTAGGATTTTTTTTAAAAACCATGTGGAAGTGAAAAGTGTCCTAATTAAAATACGATTTTGAATAATATGACAAGCAACCCTTTTTTTCAAACTGTAGCTTTTTTTTGTTGTTTTGTTTTGCTAGATTTATGTGCGCTGTGTACTGCAGCTATTTTTGAACTTCTGCGCAGAGTATGCGGGTTTTAGCAGTGCTGAATAGCTCAACTTAACTTTGTTACAGCAGTACAAACTTACTCATGAGAAGAGATATTTTAGTTGGTAACTACTGTATTTAGGTTGCTAACCACTGTAATCGGAGAACGTTTTTAAGATGCTAATACAGCTTTAATAATTGATTTGATGGCATTTTAAAACTGAAAATGATAATAAATATTATAAGAACGGATTCTCTCTCTAAACGCCGGCTAAAGACTTTGCACATTTAAAGCACTTTTTATGCGCATGATTGAAGCAGATAGTGTTTAAGAGGATGCTGAACCGCTGGCAAAAGTCCGCTCAATCGCCTACTCAATCGCTACGCTATCGGGTAGGTGGCGCCATCTCTCGGGATCGAATCAGACAAAAACAAGGATAGATAACATGAGAGAGACAAGGATAGACATATGTCTTTCTCTTCTGGTGCAAAGTTTAAGAACTACGTAGTGCTTCGTGCAGTGTTTTGACAGGAAAAATAACCTTTGTGTCTACAATTTACAGGTTCAATACTTTCTCTTCCTGCAAGCGTTCAAAGTGTTTTTTAATACTTTTGTAATATTCTTACAGGTTCTATCTAGTGGGCCAAAGTGTGTTTTGTGACATATAAACTGTTAAATCTGTAGACATACTTGATAATGTAAGGTAGTCAATTTTCTTAAAAAAAAATTTTTCCGTTTTATAAACATTTATTGTCTCGCCCGACTCGTTACACTGTTTTCTTTTATTGTGGAGAACCGTTTTCTCATTTGTGCAGTACATTTGACAAAAGTCATTATTCAGACATTTTACTATTTTTATGATAAAACAGGACGGTTCAGCATCCTCTTAAGTGTTTTTCAGAGCAATTATACGTTTTCAAGCAACTTTTAGGTTTTAGAAATTATTTTTGGAACATTGTGCATCGAATCCAATCAAATTATTCATCTGCAAACAAAGTGCGTACCTGACAGCACTTTTGAAAAGTGCGTTCTCAACAGCGCTTTCAAAACGCTGTGCAGGCGCTGCTGTGTTACGTGGGATTGTAAACATCACATACCCTTTTAGGCAAATTGTAAAAATATTGCACAAAAATAGCATCATGAATAACGATGATTCTGCAATTGATGATTGCACTAAGATGATTCGCCATAACGCAACAGTTTTGTCGAAATAAAATTTTGCACATAATATTTGTCAAAAATTGCGAAATAGTCGTTATGCACTTCTTTAAATATATATATGATTTAAGTTGATTTCTTCGTATGCAATTATATATTTTAAACATCACATAGCTAAAATTTTTTCCTCAATTATTAGACAATTTCTTTTTGAAATTAATTTTGCAAATATACTGCTAAGATGATTCGCCATATCGTTATTCTTTTGCCGAAATAGTATTTAGAAAGTAATGTTGCAAACAACTACAAATATTTTATAAAAAATCAATGTTTTTACATCTCTTTCCTAAAATATATCTGTATAATTGCAAATTACAATTTTAGTGCAAGATTTCGTCACATAATTTTGTAAATAGTTTCCTAGTGTTGTAGCCAATGTTTATGACAATACAATCTTACCGTAATATTTCATTATTACACATAAATGTAATATGTCGATAATATTAATGTAATATTATATTATAATATGTAATATTACTGATATATTGCAATTTTACTGTGATAATACAGTAATATTATGTGCTATGTGGGTATATTTATCAGTAAACTTTAGTTTTTCATAAGTGCTGCAATTTTTATTGCAATCAGTTTTACAGACACATTTTTACAGATACTTATGACTCTTTGTTTTAATTACACTTATAAATAATATTAACAAATACATCAAAGACCTTATTGTAAAGGATACATAATGTAAAATATTAAAAGAATTCTTGTTTCTTACTATGTGCGTCCCAAAACTTGCATACTAATATATATCATAACAAATCTAAAACTTCCATATATCTTTTCAATCATGCAAAAAAGAGCGATTGTACTTTTCCAATAACATCCCAGATAACCAAGACTGA